TAGCCAGCCAGTTTTACAGTAGCTGTAACGTCTGTTCTGCTCTGTTAACATTGTATTTCAGAAGCATACAAACATAATCTATGTCTTGCCTAAAAGAGTATTATACACCGAAGGTTTTAAGTAGAATTGGAATGAGTACAATGGTATAAGATGCATCATAATATGACGGATGTGAAATAACTAACAGTTAAAGTTTTTTCTTTTTCGGGTGGACTAAGCGCACACTTTTAAACACTAAGAAGATATGGCCTTAACATAAGAAAATAGTTAGATATATATTTTGATAATGACTATTCAAAATGAATGCCAAATTTTCGAAATCGTATGTCTACTATTTTATTCAATATTTAGTTTTTTTGAGTTTCGTGAAAACTTTCTGTAGTTAGAAATTCATAAATGGACATGGCTTATTGTTTGGAAATAATAACAATTGTTAACTTATGACAAAAGGCTACATTTTCTCGCCTTGAGTTTTGTTAATTTAGAATTGTAATTTAAGTTTTTATTTTTTTAGACATTTTTTTAGTGTTTTATTTTTTTTTTATTTTTTTAATAATTTAAATCCAGAAACGAATGTTAGAATAAAGAGGTTGTTGAGTTAATTTTACAAAAATGTAGGTGACTCTTATAATAGGAGATCCCGACGAGTCCTGTCATCGCAGTTTTCGACCATAATTAAATAGAAATGTAGTTTACATTTTCTTAAATTATATTTTTTAAGTGAACTTTATTTACTGTTGTGAAGTCTTTGCAGAAAGACGATATAACTCGTTGTTAAATTAAATAATTAAGAAAAAATTAAAATAGGTGATTTAGTGTTTGAGTTTCAAAAATGAAACCGTTTAAAACTTGAAAAGAAGGGAGTGGCAATATGATCTATCTATAAATATAGTTTATGGCCACACCCCTGAGTATAAGATAACTGCAAATCGTCGAAACTTTTGAAAAAAAAAATTGCAAAATGTATACAATGTAGCAAGTATAAACATGTGTTTTGCAAAATTCCTCTAAACACAATATAATTGATATAAGCATGTGTTTAGTTTATATAAATATATTTCCTATATTTATTTAAATATTTGTAATTAAAAAAAAAACTGCCAAGTAATAACCACTTTTATCAATTAGTAAAGTGTTTATATAAATACATATTATTTGTGACACATACTATTTGAGAGTAATTATAAGAGTAAAAATAAAATAAAGGAAGGAATTGTAGCTTTATTAAATCAATGCCTAGATCAATATAATACACTCATTTTATTTAATTCTGTTAGCAAACACAAATAAAAGTTTTAGATAAGCGTAGTATGCTTTATGTAATAGGTATGTAAGCAAATTAGGATTACAAAATCATGTATAAATCAACTAATATTTAGTTATTTTATAATTTTAGTTATAATTATTTATTTATTTTTTTTTTTAATTTTTGGTTTTTAGAGCCGGTGAAATTATATTCTGCCTCGTCGACTCTAATTGGACTCCACAATTGGCGGGGGTTGACGGAAAATGAATAAAAGTCCTGTCAGAGGCAACATTTCGTTTTCAAAAGAGGCCGCGACTACTGCTGGCACATGTGGAATACGTCTACAATTCAATCTTCTCATATTGCTTGCGTTATAATGAGGTTCCTGAGCTGATTTTAAATGAGTAGGCCAGTGCAGTAAATTACTGGTGGTAAGAAGACGTTTTATAAGATTAGTTGGACATCTACTTTCTTGCAATGCGACCTTTATAGGTTTCTTTAAAAAAAAAAACAGTTAAACAAGGTTTTGAATAATGAATTTTTTACAAAAATTACTTTTTCATCTTTTTCAGGTCGAAGTATCAATAATCCCCAATTTATATCGCTCATTACTTCTAGTGAATTTATCCAATCAGTAGTTAAAAGATACGGAGCTGGCTACAAAATGTATGTATTTATTATAATAATAATGCACGAATACAGGGTGATTTTTTTTTATCATGGATCACATAACTCATGGGTTTCAAGAAATTAAAATGTTTTTTGTACATTGTTTTTATAAAATGTATCTCCATTTTTCATAACTTTTTTTTTACCTACTCCTAACTTAGTTATTTTGACAGAAACTTTTGAATTTTAAAAGACAACGTATTCTTTATTAACTTTTATTATTTATGATAGTTTACTAGCAATTTTGACTGGTCGATAACCAGTTTCGGATAGCTATTTTTAAAGTTATTGAAGTTTTAAGTTAAGGATAGGAGGAAAGGTGGAGTGCAACATTTGTATTATCTACACGCATTTCCCAACCACACTTCCTCACTAAAAAGTTGCTATAAAAAAAAAAACTAATTTGGAAGGAAAGGGTAAAAAAAAAGCAACGACAATGGTTCCAGGCTAATACTTTTCTGTATGACTAATGGATGGTCTTAAGTTGTAAATATTTCCATATGAAATAAACTAAGAGAAATAGCATTTAAAAAAAAACGACAAATGAAAATTTAGATACAAAGTTAATAAAGCTCACTTCCTTCCCCTTTAAATTTGAAAAAAACAAAAAAAAACCATACTAGTTTTAAGTTTTCAACTTTTTTTTGACGGATAGTATTCTGTTAACGAACCTGCAAAAACATTACACTCGTACTTAGATTGGAAGATTAGTTTTTTTTTTTAAAAATCCCCATCAATTGTACTTTTGAATAAGAAAAAATAAATATTTTGCATTTTTTAAAATTTTTTTAGAGTTTTTAGTCAATTTACCACTAAAACTCGAACTTAAAATTTTGTTTCAGTTTCTTACTTTTTTGTTTTATATAAGAAATTATTTAGTACTCGTATCACGTTGTCTGATAATTATAATTTTTCAAACTTAACCTAGATTACCAAAATCGACATCAACGCTCTAGGCGCCGTCGTAAAACTATTAAAACTTTTATGAAACTAATTTGCAAATGTTTTTTATTGAATACATATCATTGATAAGTTTGTTCTGTATAAACTTATGTATTTCCGTATAATAGCTAATCATTTATCAAATAAAAATTATGAATTAGTGCATTTTATACATGTATTATTTATACACATATTATAAAATATCACGTACACTCACTACCGATAGTCTGCACGATATTTCATTTTTGTAGTCCCGAAATTAGTATGAAAAGTGAGAAGTATTTCACCCAAAATGGTACTACATTTAAAAATTATTGTAAAATTTTGTATAGCATGATAAAATTACTTTAATTGTTTATCCTAATAACGCAAAACATTTTGTGGAGTTAGGAAAAACATAAGATATATTTTGAACCTACTAAAAAAACTAATTAAAATATACATTACTCGTTTATATTTACCTGACTTGGAGAACTTGACATAGGTTCAAGGCATCCACCAGCGTTCACTAAAACGGTAAAACACGGCAACAAACATATAATTTTCCAAATCATTTTGTCGTTTATCTACAGTGAAAAAAACACTAAAAAACTACTAGATAAGTAAAAGTCGGGTATAGCAATATGCTGAATTTCAATACTTTTCTTATAATATGACTTCTATGAATATGTTTTGTGGGTAAGAAAAAAGCTACGGAATTTCACAGGTGGCCTTAGTTAAATAAAAAAAATATAACTTTGACAGACACGGAATGTGATATGAAGTGTGAAAATTTAGCATGAATAATGCTATAGCCTTGGCCTCCAAGCCCGAAAACGACACAAAGTTGCTATACGAAAGTAGCGCACGATGACATCGAAATCATAACGAGTCTTCGTCGTCGCACATTATGTTTGGCGAGAACATAAATAATTAAGACTATTTTACCATCAAAAGTCGCAAGGAGATTATAGATCAGAAGTAATCACTATTCAGAAGCCGGCAGGCTAAAGCATTTTTTATGTTTCATAATTTTAGGCTTTGAGTAGAGTGTAACTTTTTATCAAATTATATTTCATTACTAAAAAATGTATTTTGCTTATTTTTAATTGCGTATAAGAATCGTTGATGGTTTGTGGCTCGTGTGTTCAGTACACGCGATAAATATAATATTTCATAAAAACGGGCCTAGTTGAGAAAGTAAGTACGAAATGTTGAAAAGTTATTGGTTTTTTGTTATTAACACATGCTCGCGGGGTTTATTTCACTGTAGCCAGCCATTCTAATAACATATTGTTATTGAGGTTTAAAATTTAAGAAGGGAGGTGGAGTGCGGTTGAGAAACGCGCGCAGATAAAAATAACTGTACTCTCCACCCTTCCTTCTCTCCTAAATTTAAAACTTTAAAACTATTTATTCAAAACTGATTATCGACAAAAATGAGACAAACTACATTTTCTCGCCTTGGATTTTGTTATTTAAAGGTTGTAATTTACGCTTTTGTTTTTTTGTTTGATCCTCGTTCTACCAGGGAGCTGGTGTTGGGTGCTTATTGGTTCTAAAACCTGGTCAAAAAAAGTTAAGTGCTTGGCTTATAGCGCGGTTATATTGTATATGGGCTTTACAGTGACTTTCTAATATAGCTATATATTATATAGATATAGCATACCAACTACTTATTCAGTGTTATATCTATTTGTTGATCTAACAACACATTTAATGGTTCTTGTTGATAGTGATGTTTTAGACTGTCAGCGTTCCAGAGTAATATGTTTACACTTAGTCCGTTAGTAATTTTCATCTTCATTAGTTTATTTACAATATTATTGATATAAACATGTATTTATTCATTCATTAAAATAGTAAATACAATATATATATGAATATATTACCTATATATTTTTTAATTATTTGCATTTAACAAAAAACAACTACCTTTAGTTATCTCAGACTTAATTATTGGTTTATGTAAATAAATATTATTTGTGATCTGAACGATGCGAGCAAATAAATTGCCACATTATAAAAAACAAGTAATTTAGATCATTCTAAACACTGAAGAGTATTAATAAAATAGAGAAAGGATTATTATAGCTTTATTAAATCAATGGCTAGATCAATATAATACAATATAATATACTCATTTTATTTAAATCCGTAAGCAAAAACAAATAAAAGTTTTAGGTAAGCGTAGTATGCTTTATGTAATAGGTATGTAAACAAATTAGGTTTACAAAATCATGTATAAATCAGCTAATATTTAGTTATTTTATAATTTTAGTTATAATAATTCATATATTTTTTTATAATTTTTGGTTTTCAGAGCCGGTGAAATTATATTCTGCCTCGTCGATTTTAATCAGTATCCACATTTTCCGGTAGATCTTTGAGTTGATTGAAAATGAAAAGAATTCCTGGGCCAGGCAATGATGGGTTTTCAGCACTGGCCGCGAGTGCTGCTGGTACATTTGGAATACGTCTAAATGTATAGCTTGTTAAAATATTTGAGCGATTTTGAGCTAGAGATTCAGCTAATTCAGGAGGCCTTTTACTTTGTTCACTTGTATCAAGAAGAACGTCGACAATATTAGATGGACATCTACTATTAATTAATCCGCGCTTTGTGTTGTCCTTAAAAAATAAAAACGGTTCAACACTTTTTTTGAATAATGTATTTTATATAAATATTACTATTTGATTTTGCATAGGTGTAAATGCCAAAGTATGGCATTCATCAACTGTAATGGTCTGTAGTGGTAAGTTTGGTAGCCATTCTTCAATTGATTCGTATGGTGGCGGGTCTTCGGTCTAAAAAAAAAAATATACGGTAATGAGTTTGAAAAACAAATACTGACTTAGAGCGGACAGATAAAAATTATTTTACAGTCTGCATGTTCTCTGAGCGCTAATAACTTGATAAATACTTATTTATAACAGAATTCATTTTTTATAAAATAATAAACATAAAGTTTTGCAATTAATCATTTAGTAAAGTTAAGTATGCATCAATTTTAATATAATATACAGGGTGTCCCACAAAAAATAAGACAAATTAAATAACTTCTGTTTTAGTGAATATTTTTAAGGTTTTTTTTTTTTAATTAATTTATACTCATTTGTGTTATAAACGCCACGTTTTTATTGCACTTAACTATTATACTTTTTTAAATAATTTTTTGAAAAAATTCTAGATTTTATTAAATTTAACATTTAGTAAAGTTCGGTATGTATTAATTTAAAAATATTATATGTAGGTATATCTTTAAAGTGTGATTCAGTGTTAATATAAAATGTATTAATTCAGTACCAACTAATTTTTATTATGTACTTAAAAAACAATTACATTATTTTCCAAATGACCATACTCGTCCGTCTGTAACAAAGAGAAGCCAGTACAGTAGGGTTGGTGCATGAGGGGACAAATCATATTAAGTGGAAGGGGGCAGAGGTGAACATGAATTATTACAACTGACAGTGGTATAATTTTTATGATTGTAGGAACTATGAAAACAATTTCAATTAAAGTGTAATTTAAAAAACCGGCAGATATCACTACTAAACAATACACACATTTCTGTTATGATGGTATAAATATTAATTGGAAGTATATAACAGGTCTTCATTTCAAACATTTTCCATACATTGGTAATAGAGAAATTCATTGAAACATTGTTAACAACGAAAACTTGAAAGCTTAAGATGTTTTACCGTTTTATTGTTGATGATAGTTTATTACAGTTAGTTCTTAATGTGACATATGAAAATGCAAAAAACTAAAAAGCCAAATAATGGAAAGACATAGAATTTGATGAATTACTCAATTTTTTTACTATTATGTTATGTATTTAACTTTTTTTTTTTTATGACCAAGTGGTAATTTAAAAAATTTTCATGTATTGATTACAAAAATATATATTATATTACCATTCAAGTATTTATATTTTCTTATTTTACAAATTTCACTAATCAAAGTTTTTTTTACTAAATTAGTTTTGTTTGTTATTTACAAGTATATAAGCAGTTGTGAAATTATAAAGAAATGTTACTTAAGGTATAGTTCAGGTATTTTCAGTTGATCGATTGAGTTTGATTGTAATAAAATAAAATAAAACACTGAAAATATCTGAATTTATTCATTACAATCACACCTCGTTCTTACAGAGTAGCAGGGGCACTCGATATCCCGCCACTCGACACCCTGATTCACAACTCGACGCTTAATAAGCCGTCACTACGCCCAGTACCACGGACCAAAATTTGTGTTAATTTATTTTTATTATAGCCCTTTGTTTTTTTGACTTTTACATGTCTTAGCTCTGGCACAAAAATTTTATGCACATTTTTGTAAAAACAATCGGCAGGACACCGTCCTACATTGAACAAAAAAAACTGTTCTATATTTAACACAGTTGTACAAAGAACAACAAAACAATAACGACAACAACAGCAGAAAATACAAAAAAAAAAAATTCGTTTTAACAACAAATTAAGAGATTTTTAAGGCAAATTTGTCTGCGACCACGATAGAACATTTTCATGTCTCGTTGAAGTACCGAATACATTTAGGGTAGTGGTGGAGTTATAGATAATGATATAGTATATTATGAAGCAGTAACAAGCTAGTATATTAAAACGTCAAGTTTCAGGCTAAAATTGTAGTGTTTATTATCTGGCTTAAAACAGTTCATAGAGAATTTGAGCCCTTAAACTGTTTTGAATTTATTATTTAGTTTTAATTTGAACGTTGAACGTACAACATATATTTTATCTCTTATCTTCTGCATCTTACCCCTATCCCCTACCCACTATCTCCCATCCCTATCACTCACCCCTATCCCCCATCCTTATCACTCATCCCTATCGCTTACCCTTATCCCCTACCTCTATCACTCACCCCTATCTCCCTCCCTCTATCCCTGTCACTTACCCCTATCTCTTATCTCATATCAGATAACAGCGTAACACTTTTTTCGTTACGTTTTTTTTCGGTTATTTGCAACAGCTAATTCCACCCCAACCCCATTTCCACCCTCAACCTCATCTTTATCCCCATTTCTTTTTGACATTTTCATGTCTTAGCTCTGGCACATAACCGAAAATATTATAACGAAAATATTGTAACGAAAATATTATAACGAAAGTATTGTTAACGAAAAATGCGTTACCAAACATAAATGGGGATGAAGATGAGGTGGGGGGTGTGAATGGGGTCGGGGGTGGGAATTAGCTGTGGTGCATAACCGAGAAAAAGCGTAACGAAAAAAGTGTTACGCTGTTATCTGATATGAGATAGGGGTGGGATATAGGGGTAGGGGATAGGGGTAAGATATAGGAGATAAGAGATATGTTGTATGTTCAACGTTCAAATTAGAACTAAATAATACATTCAAAACAGTTTAAGGGCCCAATTTCTCTATGAATTGTTTTAAGGCCCCTGGATACCGATCATTTTTAAGGAGTTTTGTATAGGCAATATTTAAGAAAAAAAGTGGTTTTAATACATTTTGACCTTGCCAATTAATTAACCGGTTAATTTTTAAAATCATCATGGTATTATTTTTAATTTAAATCATTTTGTCTATGAGTAAAAGCCATTTTAGTTAATATAATAGTACATATTTTGTCCATCGCACAGGCTGAACCAGTGATCCGATAAGTAATCTGAAAACAGATTTGAATTTGTCATGAAGTTTACTTGAGATCGGTCAGCGTACTTTTTTGATATCTTATTCCTACTACGCATAAAACATGTTTGAACATTTTATAAAATTTCAAAATTCAAATTCAAATTTGGAAAGGGTTAAAAATAAAAATTGAAAAAAACGCTCTGACCGATCTCAAGTAAACTTCATAAAAAATTCATATCTGTTTTTAGATTGCTAATCGGATCACTGGTTAGATCTGTGCGATGGACAAAAAAAGATGTGTTTGGGCTGAAAAAAACGGTCGGTATCCAGGGGCCTTAAGCCAGATAATAAACACTACAATTTCAGCCAGGAACTTGACGTTTTATTATACTAGCTTTTTACCGCTCGTTAATATACTAAATCATTATCTATAATTCCACCACTACTCTAAATTTATCTCTGTACTTCAACGAGACATGAAAATGCTCTTTCGTGGTTGCAGACTCGGCTGAAAAATGATTTTCAATTTTAATTTGACGTGCGATCCGCTGAACGGGTCCCGAACTTCGGAGAGGAGGGGGTTAAAGATAAAAAAGGTCACTTCTTCAACCTTTAACCCTGCATTAGTCGCGCGTTCTACTATTGTAGTACACCGATAATAAATTTTATTTTAAATGATTTTAGGATTTCCTCATCACAATGATAATTATAATACCTTTAAATGACATTGTATAGTTGATATCTGTTATGATTTCGGGCTTTATATTTTTGGTGTGATTCTGTATACTGAGTGATAAAGTTGCATGTTCTACTATTGTAGATTACGCGACCACTCAGGTACATAATTTTTATACATTGTGTTATGGGTATATTTAAAATTTTATATATTGATGTTATACATTATATTATATATAGATACACATACATAATAAATATATGATATACATATGTGTATATATATATGTATTTATACATATAAATATATATTTTAATAATATTGTTTTATTTGTTCTCCTTTAAATTGTTACAGTTCCTTTTGTATGTATTAAATTAATAAACATTGTACAACTATGTTATAAAATACACAATATATATGAGAATTGAATAATGTGGTAAAATCATTAATTTATGTTGCAATAATACATTTTAATTAGCAAAATTGTAATTGTTCTACATATGTAGACGCGCGACTACTCATGTGATATTTAACCGCACGACTAATGCAGGGTTAAAATAATAATAAAAAAACAAAAAAACAATACGAGTTTTAAATTTTCAACTTCTTTTAATTTGTAATAATTAATATTCTGTTAACGAACCTACAAAAAAACATTGCACTCGCGCTTAGTTTGAAAGATTAGGCATATAAATATTTTAAGTAATGCAACGCTCCACGATATTTCCGTTATTGATGTCATAATATGATATTAGGTATCAATTGTAAAGATATAAGTTATTTTAAAATTATCATTTTGAACGACTATAATTGTTAATATGACTATTAATAGTAGGACTACTAATTCGAGGTATTTTGCATTTTTAACCAAAGCTTTGTGATGCTTGTTTTTTTTTTCACAAAAAAATCGTCGCATGTATTTTTAACGATAATATTAGGTTTTAAGTCGATTTAGCACTAAAATTCAAAATTTAAAATTCGTTTCGATTTTAAAATTTGTTTTTTTTTTAAATTATTAAACGCTCGTATTATGTTGTCTGATATAATTTATTGAAATTATCCGTACGATGTAACCTAAATTTTGGAAATCTAGGTTACGTCATTAGTAGTGACAAGGCACCATCGTAAAAACCATTAAAACTTTTTTGAAATGTTTTTTAATTAAATACATATTATTGATAGGTTTGTTCTATATATACTTATGCATGTTCGTATAATGGCTTGTAATTTATCAAATATAAAAAAAATTATGATTTAGTGTATTTTATAGTTGCATTATTTTGAAATGCAACTATAAATCGTGACCTAAAATAAAATGTCACGTCCACTCACTATCGGTAGTACGCGCGATCATTTATTTTTGTAGTCCCGAAATCAGTATGCAAAGTATAGGTTTTCAAAAAAATTGTATTCAATAAAGTAGATTCACCTACACCCAAAATTACTTAAATTTTGTATTCTAAGAACGCACAACATTTTATGGAGGTATGAAAAATATAAAATGT